TTTGGTGTGGGTTTTTTGCTTGTTTGTTTTGGTTTTGTTTTGTTTGAATTTTCTTAAATATAGGCTGTGTAACTGTTTAGTACAGACTATTAAGGAAACCACAAAAGTTGCTGCTGAAAAATAGGAGTTAAATGTGTATTTAAAAAGTCAGCATGGATCTTAAAGATTTAAATTTGAGATCCAAATTGAAAATTTTAGAGGAAATTAGCTTTAAATTGGCATTTGCTGCTGATCTTTAAATTCAGTTGTGGGGTAAATGTTGTAGATAATTTGAATTTTGATACAGGTTTTATGGGGAAAAGGTCTCTTAGACTGCTGGGTTATGTCCCTTGTAGGGATTTGAGTACTGTGTAGAGCACGAGAAAGTGATACACGTCACCACCCACTTCTCTGAATGCTGTTCATTTGAGCGAGCAAAGACCTCTAGGTATTTTCTTTCTTTAATATATGGGGAGCTAATCTGTTGTTCAGTACTCTCTTCTTTCAGGAGCTGACTTAGAAACTTTTATCTGGGGAGGATTGGGGGCAGCTGTGGCAGGAGTTCTGTCTTGTGGTAGGTAGCCTTGTGGGATATGTGGACAAACATTATCAGGCCTTATTGCACGGTATAAGGGATTGTTTCCTTTCCTTCTGATTGCACTCATGTTAGTTCCAAATAGATCTGTACCTGATAACTTGTAAGATCTACTTCATAACTCTTTTAAAATGCTGGTACAAAACCATATTTTATCCAGTATAAGAACTGAAGAAAAACTTTCTTCAGACTTTTTTTTTATGTGTATTAAGGCTTTCTGTATTGTACTGATTTAATGTATTTTGAAGAGTTGCCACTGTAGTCTAGCTTGAAAGGCATTACAAATGTGAGTATATCTTGATCTGAGACTACTGAGGGATGCTATTGCTTGACAAAGACAAAAAAAATCGCAGGGCCGTCTTCATTTTGTTGAAGTTCTCTATATGTAATTCATTACAGGCATGGTCAATTCAGGTCTGTCCAAATGTTTTGAAGTGGAAACACTTAAGACACACTCTTGTATTGGTCTTGCAGGAAGCAAAATCCTCATTGAATTTGAACACTCAAGTCTTCAAACAAGCCACTGTTAGCTTGGACCAAATAGTACCAGTGAGCAAGTTCATGAATAGTAATTTTGACCAACTTCACATTCATTACTTTTTCATGTGTTGCTCTTCCAGTTGCTGTGCAGTATGATCACATATTAGGGAAACTTGTTGCAAAATTTCCCTGTCTAATTGAACAAAGTTGGGAAGCCTCTAACATTTCCCTCATTTCTGATCTTTTCTGAAACAGAATTCAGTTCTCTCCTGTAACAGACTAACCTCAAGGATTGGTGATCTCCTGTTCCCTGTGTCTTAACAAACTATGTCACCTGGCAAAAGGTTTTGCTTCAGTGTTGTAGTTTGAATATGGGTTTGATTTCTAGTGTCCTGCTTTCTAGGTGGGTAAAGAAGAAGTTGTTGCATAATTAAATCCTTGCATTTGAGAGATTAGGTGTGCTCTTGTAAAAGCTTGGTACCCAGACTTGGGTGTATAATTACAAAGAACTTTTCTGAAATATGAGATACGAAAACTGAAGGTTGAGTGGAGGTTTATGGTTAATATGTGATTCATGGTAGGAATTGACTGAAGAATGCTGACTTGCAGTATTGAAAACATGTTGCTAATGGTTTGATTGACAATGTCCACGTTATGCTTGAAAAGGTCTGATCATGGATGCTAACAAAAAATGTTGACCACCATGGATATGGTGGTGGTGGACAATACTTATAGGTAGCTTTATATACTGAGGTTAGACTAGGGAAAAAAAAGGAAAGTAAAAATTTAAAGTCACCACTACGCTTTTGACTGAGTTTGTGATCAGAATCTGTAAAAAACTAGCTTTGGAAAAACAAGTCAGTAGCAAGAGTTCTGGAAGGTGTTCTGAGTCTGTGGGAAATAAAAGATAAGACATAAGATATCAGCAGAAAAATGGTGTCTGGCAGGCTAAGCATTGAAAAGTTTGGGAGAAGTGAACTAGATTTTAGTGTTCTAGTAAACAACTACCTAGTTTCTCATGTGTTAAGAACACAGCTACATTTTTTCCCATATATTCAATGAATTCTATTTTCCATTAGAAAATTTTTCTGCATTATGTTTTGTGGTGAAGGTCTGATGAATAGGTCTTGGCAGACTTGAAAGAAGCTAACTTGATCCTGTGTGGGAGATGTTTATGTAGAAAATGATACCTACACTCGAGGTATTCAGGTTACCATCTAGAGTAACGTATGGTCACTAAGAGTATAAGGATTATGTGAGTGTCATACAGCATGTTGAGCAAAGCCTGTCAGTCTTGGAGATCAGGCTGACTTTACCCAAAGTTCTTATTGAGGAAAAAATGGAAGCATAACGGTAATTTTTTTTTTTTTAAATGGTAAATTTGAACAGATTGTTTTAATACACAGCTTTCATGAGAAGTAATTTACGGTGTTTTGAGAGTGTGTCACTAAGAGGTGTACTCACAGTGCTCCAGATAACGTAGACTTCTGGTATAGTGTGCTGTGAATCTTAACTTTTAAAAGTAACTTTAGAATATGAGAAGATAATTTTCAATATCTGCTAAGTCTTCGAATGTTTTAATTGGTGAAAAATGTTGATACCACAGTAATACGTAGAAAAAGGAGTGCATTTAGAAGTTTACTCTTACTTCTGGAATTCTGTGAAAGATTTGAGTCAGAATTGCTTCCCTGTAGGATGTATATCCCTGTGATCACTATGCTATGCTTGGGAAACAAGCCTTAACACCATTAAGGTCTCCTTAAACACCATTAAGGGACAGCACAGTCAGCCCTTGTGGTGTTTTTTTTTTTTAAATGCTCACAAGTGTGCCACAATTCTCAGCCCTGTCTCTCCACTGTGGTAGTCTTGAACCTCAGAGCAAATGTGTGATGGTGGAATTGCACCAGATTTCAGTTGCATCAGTTTTAAGTTTGTGGTAGTGAATAAAGAATGACTTTGTTAAGATAAAATATATAGCTTTAAAAATTAATATGCAATTCTGCTGATACTTGTTTCTATTTTGTAAAGCCTAGGTCTTAGTGGCCCTTACTTGGAGACATCTGGGATAGTATCAAAATGGCCTGTATGAGCTCATGCTATGCATAAAGCGCATTTTACTAGATGTGCAGGAATCTGAACCTCAGTGGTATTGTTTGGGGTTTCCTCCATCTACCTGGTAGAGGGAGCTTGTTTGATCAGGGCCTTAAAAAAGAACTGATGTGTTCTTACTCTGGAAACTCAATATATGTGTTAAAGTTTTCTTGGCTGCAGCAGTCAGGTAGTGGTGTGCTGTGTAACCATCAGGAGGTCAAACTCTGAAACAGTTCAGGATTTCACTCTTTCTAAATTATTTTATCTTTACTCCATTGCTGCTTGATATTTTCCTTCTATATGACATTTGTTCTTTGTGCTCTATGGCTACAAGTATGGATTATTATTATTTTTTTTTAGTATTTGATTCCTATCTCTAACATGACTTCTGAAGGATCATGTAAAGCTTTTAAATGTGTGATATTTATTTGCCTTAAGAGGATTATCACATCATTAATGTTATCTAATGTCAACATGTTCTTTTTTTGTCTGGTTTTGCATGTTTATTGCAGCCACTGGAACTGCTCTGGCATTCTCTAGATGAATGGCTTGTTCTTATAGCCACGGAGCTGATGAAAAACAAAAGGGACTCTGCCAACATTACTTCTATTTTACTGAAGCAAAAAGGACCAGATCACCAGGGTGCTACTCCTACGCCTTCCTTTCCCACTGCAGAAACTGAGGGCACAAAAGAGCTATCCACTGATGCTGTCGAGTTGAAAACATACGATGTTGCTGGGAAGCAGGAAGCTTGTGCTGATCGCCAGGATGTTATCTCCATGACAGCAAACAGGCTAAGCGCTGTCATTCAAGCCTTTTATATGTGCTGCTCCTGTCAGATGCCTCAGGGGTAAGGAGAAGATCCTGTTAGTTACTGAAATTGTTATATGCTTTCTTGGAAGAATTTTGGTGCTGATGAGGTAATATTAGTGACAGTCAAGGGTAATCACTATTGAATGCATTATTTTTATTTTTATTTTTTTTTCCCGTCTTTAGCGGCACCAAACAGCACAACAGAATTTCCATAGTGCTTCTGCCTCTGAACATAGCTGCACTGGGGCAGATTTTGTGTTGAATGTCTAATGGTTCTTTGTAATCATGTGGGCTACTTGCAAGTTATGTAATTTTGATCTCTTGAAATTTAGCTATTCTTGCTTTTGGTTCATAATGTGAAATTATTCATTAATTTAATGTGACTATCTAACAAGAATAACTATAAGCTCAGAGAAAAATGTGAGTTATCTTTGTTTATGAAAATGACAGCTGGGGCAAAAGTTGTTTGGCTATATTGCAGAAGCTTATAATAAGGAGAGTACAGTCTCAAAGTAATGGTCAGTTGGCAGACAGTTTTGTGTGGAACAGGCACTACAACTTGGGTAAATTTAGTACTCTCAGTGCCTGGTTTAAAAAGGAAAAAAAGTGTGTCCACTATAACTGAGGTCTTTGCCTGAGATTGGTGTGGATTGTACTTACGAACATGCAAGGAAGGGATCCTTCGACCCTGTTGAGTGGAAGATTAGGCAAGTATGGTGGTTTTACAAGCTCCCTGAGGAATTCAGAAGCAAGGTTCCCACTACATGACAACTCTTGGTTACCCCCAGCCACTGTAAGTGATTTTCTTTGACAAACTGAGTGGAATAAAAGTTTTCAAGTCAGCCAGCACTGTTTGAGGCACACTCCTCTGTGGACAGTCTGGAAGACAATCTGGGGATCAGCATGTTCCACAAGTACCTCAGTATTTTCACTTTTAGGGTTTTTCCATCTTGAAAAAGGAACTGCTGCTTAGCAATTTCCCTTTAAATGTCCATCAAACTTTACTAAGAAAAAATGCCGGTATATTATAGCAGCTAAAGTAGAAATGTTTATAGTACTGATTAAGTACATTTTCCCCAATTTATGTCTTTATGCCAAAATTCAGTTGAGGAGGTGACTTCCCCCTGCACCCAGGTGGTTTGCTGATGTGTCCTGCCAAATGCATGTGCACCTATGCATGCTTTGTGCTCCAAGTTAAGGAGAACTCCTCTGGGTACTACATAAGTTTAACTTAAGAATTAGGAGCCAGGAGAGTAAGAACTGTTTCAGTGACAACTGGGAGAACTCCCTTGGATACAGGAAAGTAAGGCAGAGCACACCTGAGTTCTGTGTTGGTTTAGGGCTTTTCAGAACTGTGTACAGAAGAACAAAGATCTGAGACTTACTCTGTTTTACTGACGTTTTCATATTAGTAGAAGTAAATGGCACAGTGGTGTAATTCAATACTGCTGCCATCTTCAAATAATATTTGAAATTATAACAAATGACATTTTCAGGGAAAATAATTTAAAATGGCTTTGATTTTAGATTTGTGTGTCTTTGTTTAATGGAGGAGAGTAAACAGTGCACTGTTTTCCATTGTTCCTAGTACTCATACAATAAAGATGGCATTTCATGCTGGTTGACATTTGAAATATTGAGGTTATTTTCTTTTACTTGCCATGATTGCTTTTCTTCTGCAAATGCTGTTATTGAATCTGGGCATTCTTTTATTAATGCACTGAACTACAGTGTTCTGAATCTTCAGCGTCAAAACTGATGAGTGTGTGCAAAGTTGTGGTTTTTTTTTTTTTTTTGTTTTGTTATCCTGGACTTTTTACAGTATTTCTCACAACTTTTCAAGGCAGTTGATGAGAAGGGTTTATTCTTGCTTGCAAGTATTAGCTTTTGCGGAAGCTAAAGGATCCATGTAAGAATTTCTGTGTTTCAAAAAATACAGGAGATAGTTGTAAATAAAAAGAGTAAAATTTGCACCTGTGTTAATCCTTACCTTGTTTTCCAGATATAAATAGGAAAAAAATACAGTTCCATATTAGTGCATGAGATGGTTGCCTGGCAAGCAATTTTGTTGTTTCATGAAGCCATTAAATACAACTTTGTCCCCCATTATTAAGTTTGAGTTTGTAAGGTTATTTCTTCATGACTGTTTCCTCACTTGCCACAATCTATATGGTGTGGTAGGAGTTATATACAATGAACAAAAATACAGAACAATGCATATCATGTATATTCTGCATATAACATCATTCTTTCCATATAAATATTTCCGTTGTGCCGAAAGCTGAAAGGGTTTCATTGTATTTCTGTTAGTTTGGCCTTTTCTTGTTCATGTAGATGATAAGAGTTAGTGGTGAGGTTGCTTGACCTTCTTGATTATTGTGGGATTTGCCTTTTCTGTGAGCTTATTATGAAATCTTAATGCTGCTATTTAGTTTTATGATTGACTAGTTATATAAAGAAAAATGGATGTTGTTAAATTTTTTATTAAAAGAACGCAACAGTTTATGTAATTCAAATTACTTTCAGTATCATTAACTAAAGCATTTTTTGCACAGGATGACGTCGCCTCGTTTTATAGAGTTTGTCTGTAAACATGATGATGTCCTTAAGTGTTTTGTTAACCGGTAAGCTTTGAGAAGTACAGAATTTCTAATTTCTTTGCTTTTTTTCTTCCCCAAATAATTCAAACTCATATATTTTTCTTCTTAATGAGTTGTCACAACAATAACTTCAAAATACATGTGAACCACATGTACTTCAGTGGTCCTGCCAAATTCAAGGGAGTGCATACTAATGATTCAGAGAGCTCAGTTAAATGAACTGCTCTGCGTTTGATGGTGAGATTTAGTGAACAAATTTTTTTGTCACAGAGCAACAGAATAATTTCCTTAATGCATTCTTCCTTCATTTTCGTTCCAGAAAAGCCTTCCATATTGAGACAGGTGAAAGCTTTCATTCTTCCTCAAATGTGTTATACATATAACTTATTGAAGGAGTCTAAACCATCTTTGCACACACTTGGCTATTTCCAGAGTTTCTCTGGACTGCCCACTTTATAATATTGCTTCTAAATGGAGAGCTGCTTGTAATCTTCCATGCTAAAAGGATAAGGTAGTACAAGTAATTTGGAAACATGAATTAAGAAAACATTATGAAAATGAAGAGTTTGTCGGAACTTTTCTGTGTGATTAATTGCATTGTCTCTTTATGTAGACTTCATATAACATGAAGTGTTATTATTAGATCTCTGACTAACAGGCTTCTAACCTATTTTTATTTCAGAAATCCCAAAATAATTTTTGATCACTTCCATTTTCTTCTCGAGTGTCCTGAACTAATGTCCAGATTTATGCACATCATAAAAGCCCAGGTAAACGTCAGGAGATGCTTGGTTACAATGTCTATGAGTTTGTTTAATAATAATGATAACAATTTAAAAAAATCCATTTGTGGAGGATGGAAGAACTAAGTGTGGGCTCCAGTGCTTCTGAATCTGGGATGTTGAAAGATCAGATTAAACAGACATGGCAGCCAGATTTCTGTACTTCTAATTTTTTGAAATGCATGTTTAAGTCTTATTTGAGATGACCAATGTTAAATAAGTCTTACAAGTCCAACTTTCAGTTAAAATTTACCTCCTATTATTAAACTTATTTGTGCACATCTAATAGATTCAGCTTTAACATGCTGTGATTTTTCCTTAATTGACTTGATTTTGAGATAAACCAGAGGATAAATACACCACTATTAGTTGATTTGGCCATAGTTAATTAGCAATAGTTCCTTCATTGAGACATAATGTTGTTACTCTTTACTCTGTTTCCTACCATTTGCTTTTGTTTGGGTTTTTATTTTTATTTGTAAAATCCCAATGCCTTGCATAATCTAAACTTGCTTCTCAGTTTAACATGTGACATGAATTCCAAACTAAAGCATTACTCTAGGAGTAAGACTAATATAGTTAAGTGGAAAAATTAGCGAGTGAACGCCACACCCCCACCTCCCCATATGGAAGTCTGCTGCTTTACATAGCACTTTAGTGTTAAGCATCTGCCATGTTTTCATCACTTAGCTTTAAAAGATTATGGTTGTCTACTTGTAGCTGAGGGACAAGGCTGCATGTTTTTTTCTATTATGAAAGAAGATGGTCTTGGCCAATAATAAGCTATTTGAAACTCCTTCATTTAGCACACACTATTTTAATTTTGCTTTGTTCTCTATTAGAAAGGTTCCTGACATTAAACTGTTTTGGTCAAAGACATAATTTGCTGAAAATAAAGGTAAAATTCCTCTGACCAGACACCTTCCACCCACCCCACAATAATTGTGGAGGGTCTGTTCCAAAAGGTTTATTTCTTTAGTTGTGCCTCTATTTTTAGATGTACATTGTTTTTTTGGTAATTGTATTTTATTTTTAGAACATGGTCTAGGTGTATTGTTTACTTTTGGTTGAAATATACATTTTTTTAAATTCAGTATCTCTGAATAATGAAGAGACCCTGAGAACTGTTAGATCAACTAAAAGTGCGTGCCGTGAATTGTGATAGATGAGAGAGGCCATACTTGGGTCATATCTGTCTTGGCAGAACTGCAAAATATTTATCTAAATACTGAAAACAAGCTAGAACCTTCTCAGCTAGGAATTGCTTTGGAACCTTTCTGGTGCCTTTGGGCTGTTCTTTATTGCCAGTGAACTTTACTGCAAGTACCCTTTGTTTATATCATTTGTGCTAATGTGCTCAGCTGTGGTTGATAATAAGTAGTGTTACAGAAGCCAGTGACTGACTTCTTATATAGATTCCTTTTACCCCTGCCCTGGAAGAAGTTTCGTGCTATTTTTTTCCTGTGTGGTGATAACTAATGGTCCAGTCTTTCTGCATATCAGGCTTCAGCAAGCACACAAGGGTATGTTTAGTCCTTTCCTCTTCCCAAAATACTGTATAGCATATTGAGGTAGCACCAAGTGACTCTGCACATCTCAAAAATGAGAAGTATGTATAACCATTTTCCAGTCATGCTTATGAGAGGGGAATTATTTGGTTGAATGCATCTATATAATGTGGTATACCCCTTGTTTTGTAGCCATTTAAGGATCGTTGTGAATGGTTCTATGAACATCTGCATGCTGGGCAGCCAGATTCAGACATGGTGCATAGGCCTGTCAATGAAAATGACATCCTTTTGGTTCACAGAGGTATTGTATTATAAATGGAATTAGTATAGCTTTGAAATACACTGAAATACAACAAATTAAGAAAAAAATAATTGTTGCTTTTTATTCAGATTCTATTTTTAGGAGTAGCTGTGAAGTTGTTTCTAAAGCAAATTGTGCAAAACTAAAGCAGGGGATTGCTGTGAGATTTCATGGAGAAGAAGGCATGGTGGGTAAAATTGCATGGTTTTCCTTTATGATATATATAGAAATATTCTGTTTCACAAGTATTGTTAAAAATCCTAATTTAGGATATATTTTACGCTTCATTAAGAAATGTCTGGTTGCCCTGTGTAACTGTTTGTGCAGTGATGGTTGTACTAATATGATAATATCCTGGGCTGCATCAAAAGGAGCGTGACCAGCAGGTCAAAGGAGCTGATCCTGCCCCTGTACTCTGTTCTTGTGAGACCTCACCTGGAGTATTGTGTGCAGTTCTGGTGTCCTCAACGTAAAAAGGACATGGAACTGTTGGAACAAGTCCAGAGAAGGGCCACGAGGATGATCAGGGGACTGGAGCACCTCCCGTATGAAGAGAGGCTGAGAAAGTTGGAACTAGATGATCTTAAGGTCCTTTCCAACCCTAACTATTCTATGATTCTATGATTTTCTGTGTACTAACATGTTTTATTCTTTTGACATGCAGGGACAGGGTGTTGTGCGTGAGTGGTTTGATATCTTATCCAGTGAAATAGTTAACCCAGATTATGCCTTATTTACTCAGTCAGCTGATGGTATGTCTTTGCCTTTTTATTCTTTCCTAATTCTATGGTGCTGCCTTTTATAATACAAGAGAAAAGTTACTTGCTTTCAGAATGTAGGATTTATAAACAACACTGGCAGAATTGTTTTCATATATACGGAGAAGTGATCCATCATTGTACATTTTTATAACTACAGAAGAAATATTTTTCCTAATTTGACGTTTCCTTGATTTTGTTCTCTCTTTTGTAAGAGGAGAGCAAGTTGTTGATTTTAATTAGTCCATGGTATTTCTGCCTGGTAGAAGAAAGACATAACACTTTGAGGGCAGTATAGAAAGTGTTTTCCATAGGGAACGTAGAGGTATTTCTTTATTTTCTTTTAGAAATCCATTAATTCAGTCAGTTTTTATGGTAAATCCTGATGTTGATCTGAAAGCCCTACCTTGTATTTGTCTTTTTGGTGCTTCATATAAAGTAAATCTTTATCAATAAGAGATTTCACATCATCATCAAACGATAAATGTTTTGTGTTCTACCTTACAAAGTCTTGAGAAGTGGCAAGGAACTTGGTCAACAGAACAGGCATAGGTAGTTCCTGAAAGTTCAAAAGAAAAGTTCAAGCATGTCTGAAGTGGCCTTTCCTAAGGACACCACAACTGAACTATTTTCTGGCTGCATCTGCCTGGAGCCAGATAAAAGGAAGTACATGCATTCTGAT